CAGCCGCCCGGCCCGACCCCGCAGGCCCGGCTGAGGGGGATCCCTGCCCGGGGCCCGTGGAGGAGCGTGTTGTGTCACACTCACCGGGGGCACGGACAGGGCTGAGTTTCCCTCCGCTGTCCCCAAACAGCCCGTGGTGGCCCCGTGTCCCGAGCAGGCCGCGTAAGGCCCCGTCTTGCCGGGCGGGACGGGCTCGCTCTGCTCCCCCCGGCCCAGCCCTTCGCTTGTCCCTGGCTCCGGAGCCACCCGCGACTTCCTCACCTTGGAACAGCTCCTGCTTTGCCACCTTATTTTAAACGTCAGCCTGGCTACGAAGTGGGTTGTTTCAGGCTTATAACATTTTTGCTCTGCCGAGAAGCAGAGCTACTCTGTTGCATGGCAGGCACCTTCTGCTGCTGCTGGTAGGAAGGGGCAGCTGCCCGTGGCAAGGAACCCGCACAGAGACATTGTATTAAAATAGGTTCTAGTTGTTTGAGTGTTTGTGTACGTGATGGTGACTAAGTAGAGCAAGCCTGGACCTTCTTTTTCCAGAACTATTACTACTACTTGTTATGCCATAAGAAACTTATTTTTATTGCGAGCCTCCATTAGTTTATTGTATTTTTCACATCCACTGTTTAGGCAAAATTTAAAACGTAGACCCTTGTTCTCAGTGGCATTGGATAGGTTATTTCTTCTAGGGGCTTCTGTGGTTTATCCCAGATTGTTTGCGGGGGAGGACAGGTTGGAAGACTTGCCTTCTGAGTCTTTATAGCTGGCTTTTGTGTCGCCTGTTCCCAGACCCCATCTAAATTAGAATGGTAACAACAAGCCTGTGGGTATCTACAGAAGAACATCAGCTGAGGTTGTGGTGCAGAGAGTCCTTGGTTCATAGTCCTGCTGTTGCAGCCAGTGTAGATTAGATAGCCTGTCCTGCCCTGTGTACCAGGCTCCCATAAATTAAAGCAGTTGTGTGCTGTCATGGCCTTCTGATGGGATCAGCAAGGGCACTGTCTAGGCCTTAAGATTTAAATTGTATTTGAGAATAAATCTAAATTTAAGACAAAGCATGGCCTATTTTATAAGTAAGGATTACGTGATGTGGTGGCTGCAGTGGCAGAATATGACTCGGCTCAGCAGGTCGCTTCTCATCCTGTCTTCTGAGTGTATTAACTCAAATACTTTGCTTAAGCCTCCCTGTATTAATTTGGAATAAAAAATCCTGCCTTTTCCATTTCAAATGTGAGTGAAAGGAGGTGCCACCTTAACAAAAAGGTGACATTTGCATAGCTTGGAAGAGGGCTTCCTTCTAGGTAAAAAGATGTCATGTGGCTGTGAAACTTGTTTGGAAAGTCACTGAAGCCAGAAAAAGAGTCCTGGATAGTCTTGTCTGTCATCTGTAAGACAGATATTAAATGTCAGCAGTTTTCCAGAGACACATTATCACAGACTGAGATGATCTCAGCCATGGGATTGGGATCTCCAGTTGTTTTAAACAACACTGGCCTGTAACGCGTTATTCTGTTCTGTCATGAGGTGCGTGTTAAACTTGAAATCCTGACTCAGAATTTCTGAAGTCATAAGCTGAGATGTGTTAGAGGGTGGAGGAGGGGAAGAAGTGGAGGAGGATTACTGTAAGCCTGCCTCCTGCAGGCTTCTTATCCCTCCCGGTGATCCAGGGAGCAGGTGGAAAACTGCCGTTCTTGCTTGACACTGAGCAGTGAGTCCCGTGCTCTCTGGAGCAGGGTCCCTGGGCCTCTGTGATACTGGTCCAGCTTTTCTCTGTGATTTGGTGCTTGAGTCCATCTTCCAAGCTGAACGTCCCTAATATGTTGATTTCTGTTTTCCTGGTGCTTGTAGGGTTTTTTTCTGGTATGAATAATCTGTTCCATCCTGTCTTCTGAGTGTATTAACTCAAATACTTTGCTTAAGCCTCCCTGTATTAATTTGGAATAAAAAATCCTGCCTTTTCCATTTCAAATGTGAGTGAAAGGAGGTGCCACCTTAACAAAAAGGTGACATTTGCATAGCTTGGAAGAGGGCTTCCTTCTAGGTAAAAAGATGTCATGTGGCTGTGAAACTTGTTTGGAAAGTCACTGAAGCCAGAAAAGAGTCCTGGATAGTCTTGTCTGTCATCTGTAAGACAGATATTAAATGTCAGCAGTTTTCCAGAGACACATTATCACAGACTGAGATGATCTCAGCCATGGGATTGGGATCTCCAGTTGTTTTAAACAACACTGGCCTGTAACGCGTTATTCTGTTCTGTCATGAGGTGCGTGTTAAACTTGAAATCCTGACTCAGAATTTCTGAAGTCATAAGCTGAGATGTGTTAGAGGGTGGAGGAGGGGAAGAAGTGGAGGAGGATTACTGTAAGCCTGCCTCCTGCAGGCTTCTTATCCCTCCCGGTGATCCAGGGAGCAGGTGGAAAACTGCCGTTCTTGCTTGACACTGAGCAGTGAGTCCCGTGCTCTCTGGAGCAGGGTCCCTGGGCCTCTGTGATACTGGTCCAGCTTTTCTCTGTGATTTGGTGCTTGAGTCCATCTTCCAAGCTGAACGTCCCTAATATGTTGATTTCTGTTTTCCTGGTGCTTGTAGGGTTTTTTTCTGGTATGAATAATCTGTTCCAGAATTTCTGTCATTTTGAATGATGTTTAAGATCAACCCCATGAATATTTATTATTCTTTTAGTAACTTTAAAAGTTATTCTAAAAACCTCAAACTTTTAGGTGTATTTTATATTGGAAGGCTGCTTTTAGCACCTTTAAGTATCTGCTGTAATAATTCCCAGAGTAGGAGCTTCCAAATAGCATTGGGAATCTTACTGGAAGTGGAATTTTTGGAACTGTATCCACACTGAGGTTTGGAGTCAGACACCTAGAAGCAAACCTGGACATGAGGCCAGCAATGGAAATGTTGGTGCTGCTGATCAGTTGGACTCACGTGCAGAGCATTTGGGATGGTGGTGGCAAATCTGAGTTGGTGAGGATACTTGCTCCAAGCAACCACCATCATGCTATCTGTTACTACAGTTCTGCTGTTTTGGATAAAAGACCTTGATGTTTTTGGAAGACAGTGAGCAGGCTGGAAGGACTCTGTCTCTTCCCCTGCTTGTTGTCTGATGAGATTTTACCCGTAGGACCTGTCCCTGGTACTGCCACCTGTGACAGGAATCACAGAAAAGCTTTTGGGATCCAGTGATGGTTGTTTTTCCAACAACCTTTCATGCCCACACTGTCCCACCACTTTTCTGACTGCTTCACTCCCAGAACTATCCATCCCACTCTGTCACCCATGGGAACACTCATACATCAGATCTGCTTTATGGGGGGCCTGGTGGCCATGGGACCAGAGGCTGCTCCGACCCTGAGAGTAGATAGGAGTGAAGCAGGCACAGTACAACCAGGTGTTGTAGAGCACAAGCAAACATTGCAGATACTAAAGCAGTATGGTAGAGCTGACCTCTTACCTTCTCAATATGAGCAAATTGGAAACTGTATCTGCTGCCACACCTCAGCTGCTCTTATTGGAAATGCTGCGTTATTAATCTACAGATGTGACCACCCAGGACCTTTAGTTACCCCTGGTGCTGATGTGCAGGAAGCTGCAACCACAGCACTGGGGTAGGAGGCTCCTGCTCTTGAGGCAACCATGGGGAACACATTCTTTTCATTTCTTGGTTAGCTCTTAAGAGAGGAACGTGGAAGCTGCTGCAGGTGTGTCTTGCAGCATCATATTTGAGAGAGCAGACTTGATTCTTTTATGAGTGGGTGGGTCTGTGAAGTGTTGCATGATATAAGCCAATGCTGGCTGTTCTTGTCCTAGTAGAGCCCATCGGAGACAAGCTGCTTTGGTTTAGCAGGGGACTA